GGACGCCGAGGAGCTGCTGCGGGATCTTGTCGGTGCCCTCCGGGTCGTAGGGCGCGGGCGCCTGGTCCTGCGTGATCTTGTAGCCCGGCGGCAGGGAGATCTGGCACACGCGCGTGAGGACGCCCGTGTTGGGGTCCTCGTTGACGAGCCAGAGCTCGTTGTTGATCACGGCCGTGTAGTTGGAGGGGATGGAGAGGAAGCTCAGGTCGCCCGTGCCGACGCTCGGGACGCTGACGAAGGGGAGGCCCTGGAGGTCAAGCTATTGGTATTGGGCGCCGCAGACGACATGCTAACTGCTGCGGGCGGACTCGATGGTGGTCGCGCCGACGAGGGTAGACGATTGACGGCGTCCGAGGTGCCTGGGCTGCCTCTCGAGATTGCCGTGGATAGGTTGTTGAACCAGTGATTGAACCAACCTTGACGCTGCCAACACATCAGACGCCGCGTGCCAGCGCTCTCGACGCAGAGCATCGGCACCAGCCAGCGCTCCTCGGCAGTGCACCAGCCAATGGCCCGCCGCGCCGCGACGACTCTCGCGCTCGCCACGCTCGCCACCGCCTTCGCGCCCATGCCGGCCACCGCCCGCAGCGCACCCGTGCGCGCGGCCTTCTACGACCTCGCCGACGTCGCCAACGACGGCTCGGAGGTCGCCTTCAGCCAGTTCGAGGGCAAGGTGTGCTACGCCGTCAACGTCGCGTCGGCGTGAGGCGCGACGCGGCCGGGCTACAAGCTGATGAAGCAGCTCAGCGACGAGTTCGGCGACGACCTCGCGGTCATCGCGTTTCCCACGGGCGAGTTCGGCGGCCAGGAGCTGCCGACGGACGAGGCCATCGCCAAGTTCGCCTACGACCGCGTCAAGTTCCCCGCGGCGCCGCGCGGCGTTCTTTTACAGAAGGCGGACCTCGGCCGCGCGTCGTGGCAGGCCATGCAGGCCGAGGCCGGCGCGGACGCGCCGGCGTGGAACTTCAAGGGCAAGTTCCTCGTCTCCAAGGACGGCGCGGTCACGGACGCCAGCGGCGTCGACGACATCGCCGCCGCGGTCAAGGCCTTGCTCTAGGCGGCTTCGACGGCGCGCTCCCGCGGCCGAGCCGGGCGCCGACG